TTTATATATATTTTTATTTGTTTTTCTTTCGAGGTGGTTGCCGTTTAGAAACACAAGAACGATAACAAGATGAAATCAAAAGATGTAACACGTCTTGATATACATATATATTGTTCAGTGGTCAACTTACAATAGGCGTATACAATTTTCTGTTTTTATTTTGAGCTGTGTGGAACGACGTCAGTTTAGTACCTAGACTGCTTGAAAGACTAATTTCGACTTTAAGTTTCAACCAATGAAGTATTAGAAATACTCTTAGAAGTCACCGATTATAAATAAATATATCAAATAAAAATTATCGCTAATAAAATTGAAGGAAATCACCTATTGTCTGAATAAGAACAGAACCAAACACTTGCAACAATGTCAAAATAGAGTTTTGGTTTTTATTTTCCTGATGTTTAAAGTTTTGTAAGTTTTATATTTTTTCAGTAACCTTTGGATGATGAACATTCTCTAGTAATGAATTCTTTTGCCAATGATGCTTGGCCACCAGATATCGTATAAATACGATAGTTTTAATAGTTTCTTTTAAATTTCCCGGATGTTTATAGTTGTAATATTATATGATTGCTTGAGTTAATTACTAGTAACTTGTTTGTTTCGCCGCTTATCTACTTTGGAAACATGGAAATAATAGCTAGATGGAATTAAGTGATATAACATGTCTTAAAATGTATATATTCTCAATTCTCTTATTCTCTTATACGTGGTAAGGGTTCGTTTTCTGATAAATATTCTCATTGTCTTGTTCTGCTCTCATTTATAGAATATCAGACAATAGGTTAACATTTATTTTATCTTTCACTTATAACATGTGGTTATAAAAGTTGAAATCAGAATAAAACATCTTTAATGATCATGCACAACCAATCGTGATTTATCTTTATTTTTTGACAAACTTTCAAATTGGTGTTACAGAAAAGTTATTCAAGAAAAGTAATTCCAAAAGATTTGGACCCTAGGGTCATGATTTGCATGAAGTTGCTTGAAGTTTACTAGATATTGGTACACACCAAATTTCCTCTAGCATATGAGTTTGGGAGAATAAGATTTTTTATTTTTACCTATATGACTCTAGTACTCAAATCATGTTGCCAAAGGGTCGTTGCGAATTTAACCCAGGATTTGAGGTCTACAATGATTTTCTAAGCTCTAGATGGTGCAGGTATGGAGATGAATAAATAATTTAATGGTTAGCTTCAATACCTTGATCCATTTTCAAATTCTATTTTATTTTTCGCACAATGTTTTCTCGTAGGTCAAAATCATTTATTTTTACTTGGGAACTATACGTCGCTTTTCATTAAGTAGCGCTTATGTGTCACATTTAAAATTTTTATGATAATTGTCGTATTTATACATCTGCTGATGTATCAAAATTATAAACTTTATCTTTAAAATGTTAAAAGTTGAGTTCGTTTTAAGCATGTCCCAGGGATTGTGGGAAATCTGGTATACGTGTATGTTTTTACAAATTTGTTGATATCATTTATGTTAATAACCTAATGATTTCAACGACGATAAAATCAAAATTGCTTCAAACTGGAATGACGGGAACAATGGTACTGGCACTGAAACCAATAAATCATATAAGATAACAACAGTAAATATCTGGAAAATCAAATACCTATTGAAGCTATCATATTTGTGCCATTGCTGGTGGCCAAAGATCACTTGCAATTAGAACTAGGCAATTATAACTAATTAGAGCAATGTTTATCCTGTAGTGCGATATAAGGAATTGAAAGCTATCAGGAAAAAGCATCAATGCGCACTGGCGGGCACGGTGCAAATTTCTCATATATTATATAATTCGGTCATTAAGACAATTTTCTGGATATATTCTTTTCATAAAAACAGATTTATTTCATGCAGCAACTTACATAATTTTTTTATAATAGAGATTTTTTGCTTAATAAGATATTTTTTACAGATAAGTATACGGATTATTTTAAATGTCTTACTGTCATTTAGACTGCACATTAGGACACACTATGTCCCATTTGCTGAATCCTTCGAGAAGGGCAGATGACTGACCCTCCGTACAATGACACGCGCACGCTGATTGAGTCTATAGTTTCTTAGGACACCATCATATGTATTGAAGATGAAATGCATAATTTGGATTTCTGCAAAATCTGTTCTGTCCCGTGGGTTAATATGTTTGCTTTCTCATGGTACAGATATTTTTAAAAAATGCAGAATTAATGTGCTTGGACCAGATTTAATTCATGCTTCATAGGTATGTGTCTATGTAAGAGACTTGTCGTGTTAAAAATTATCCCTCGGAAACCAAAGAGGCGCGATTATGATATAAAAAAACAAATTTAAAGCTAAAGATTATCTCCTAATCCACGTCCATTGCCTTATTACGTTATTTATACAGTATCTCTCTACTATATCTACCACATATGACCTCTAGTAAGGTTTGTTTGTATAACGTAAGACTGATATGAGAAAATAAATGGAGTCTGAATTGCTCACAATTGATTTATTATTTTTCGATATCATACAGACAGTCTCTTGATAGGAAGTTTAAGCAGACTGCTACAGGAATCTGCGATATCGCATTTCCTGAACCTTAGCTGAAGCAGACAAGTTTCTTGTGGAAATGTCTTTTTGTAAAGTATTCTGTACAACTCATTGCGCAAATGTCGAAAATTCATGTTATTTATGTCATCACTTATGTTTTGAGTATTTTCTCACTTTGCAAAGTTATTGTAATACCTTTAGTTTAGTGAGTTATATCTCATATCTTTCTTAAGAGACTTAAGCTTAGTAAACAACAGGACCAGAAATTAATAAAATAGTGCGTATATCTCAAACTCTGTAAAAAGGGGCGATACTGATTCCAATTTGCAAATAGGAATTGTTGATGTAGGATGCAAAGCTTTCTATTCTTTGGACGTTTTTTTCTTCGATCTTTCGTTCGATTCGACGAAATATGGTCAAAAAACGGTTATTTGTTCTGTTTCATAATTAAAATATAATAATCATCTTACAGTATAATATTAATTCTTTAAAGAATCATAAACAAATTGCACATAATTATTTTGCCAAACATTTTTTAGTCTAAAAATGAAAAGGTTCATACACTTTATGGACAACATTAGTCAGAGAAATGTACATATTAGTTATCTTGATAGTTTTATACATTATTAAACATTTATTATTGTGACTATGCTCTCTAATCAGTTGTCCATAAGACATTATTTATTGCCATAACTTGTCTTGTAAAAGTTTGATTTATTCTATAATAAAATATTGTTGACGACTGAACATGTCTTGTTTCAGCTTGATTTATTCGAGAATATCTTGTTGTTGTCGAAAAAGACAAGATATTCGAAGAAATGATATTGTATAATCTTTCATCATCTTTGGATGGTTTTGTTTGGCGGCAAACCAACAAAATATTAAAGTTTATAATTCAAACAACGGTTGCAAATATGTTATGAAAGTTTGTCAGTTGTGATTGAAAAACCATTTGTTATTGTAAAACTACATGATGAGTAGACTTGTAAAACAAATGCTATAAGAGGTTGTCTTTAAGTATGCAAAACAAGTTCTAAGGCTGCTGTCTATAAGTGCGGCCAGTGTTGATCAAGATCAAACATAGATTATCATTTGATCATTCTGAGGTCTAAAATTTAATGTTGTTTACATTGCGATCAATTAAATGCAATTACATAAACAAAGTCGTTTTACCAATAATTTAAATATACATGACAGACAACCATATTAGTTTTCAAAATATGAGAATGACATTTGCTACCAGGCCAATTACATTCCAATCTTGCCGTATCAGATTCGATTAAGACATACTGGCATTGCGTCCGAGCAACTAATATGTATTTAATATATCAAATGTAGCGTTTTCTTAATTGTTTCGACGGAGCCATCATATCTTCATTCGTGAATAATACGTTCTATATACCCGTAACTCTGGGTGCAGTACCTATTAATCGGCATTTCCCTTTCTTTCGTTCCAAGTAGTAATAAGGACTTGTGAGGTTTCTTATTCCACAATACCTTAGTAGACAGGAGACAAACATACTGGATTTCAGTTTTAGGGTGAGAAAAAAACAATGGCAATTTACAGGACTGTTCCAAGGGGAAGAACTTATTTCGTGGTTTAGCAAAATTCTAAACACAGTTGCTTTTCTTTAAATAATTTACCGCACATTTATGCCTGAAATGACCGACAAAAAATGATATCCATAAGCAATTCGTTTCAAATACTTCTCGAATCACGTAGTTACGTTCCCTAGCATTGAATTTGGTACAAAATGGCGAAACGTTTTTATAGTACAATGAACTAGAAAAAGTTTCAATTACATATAATGTTTCCTTTGGAAAATTATAGTTCCCCAGATCTACTGCTTTTTTGTAAACTGAAGATGCAATATGACTGCAAGTAAATTCCTTCATTGAACTTTTTAATGGTTATATACTGCATACCTACATTTAAACTTATAGTTAATTATCTCATGGAAGAGAGTGCTGTTTTTCCAGTAATTTTATTAGTTTTTTCTTAGATTAAAACAAATCATCAGTGCCGTCCATTTGTATACATGTTCATGCTAAAGGTCAATTAACCTCACATTGAAAATGTAAAATGAAAAGACAGTAAAATGTAACGTGGAACTACTTATGGATGTGAGGTTCTTAATTCAATTCAGAATAAAATAGTATTTATCCAAAAGACCCACTATTTCCGTAGGGGGCCAGTTACAAACCTAATAGTTAATAAGAATGTACAAACCTGATGGATGAGCGTTGTTGATCGGTTTAGACGACAAGATCAATACATACCTATACTATTCCCCTCGGCCTAAAATGATAGAAATCTAGTATCAAATTTAAGGGAATGCAGTATTGCATAGTATTGAAATCATTATTTTAAGAAACATTGCTTCAAACGATTCAAACAAAAGCATAAAAAAGTATAAACTACACTAAAGTAAGATCTTTATTTTAAATTTATTACTATGTGCCGTGTTTATACATTTAAAATTGCATACTTATATGTAATTTATCAAACGAATCTAAAAGGTCTGTATAAAATCTTCTACTCGATAGTCTTCTTGATCAATACCAAGCTCTCTGCATACATAAAGTAACTTCTGCTTGGCCTCATCTGAAGTCGTGCCAGTTACAGCAACATTTCCGAAAGGTACCTCATAATGTGACAATGTCTCCTTAAGTTTCCGGAACTGAAGGAAGAAAACGGCGTCATTTTCTATCATTTGAAAAAGTTTCTGTTTACAGTGGTCTTCTGTCAGAAGTTTAGCATGAAGAGAAGGCATGACCATAACGCCCATAAGTATTTTGTTTGTTGTGAGTTCCGGTATTGTAGGCTTTATGCCACAGGCAACCATCATTGAATAAACCATAATATCAATTCCGTACAACTTCTGCAGCCAGTCTCGTAAAACGTATCCGCTTATTCTAGGATTTATTTCCAATAATTTCGGCCCATTTGAAGTCCATATGAATTCAACATTGAACAACCCATCCGTAAGCCCTTTAAACACAATGAACATAATTATAACATCGTTAACATATACTGTAATACTTTAAGATAATTTATATGATAAAAAAGAAATTAATCGGGTATCGTACATATTAATAAGTATAATAAAGGAATCAATAAGCGTCATCGCTTATTTAGACTATTTGTCTATCCAGCTTGCTTACGGAACATCGGTGGTTCTACTCAGGTGCCCGTTCGTGCCTGAAATAATGCACGGAAGGGCACCTGAGGTCTTCCTCCTGAGGTCTTTGTTTGCAGAAAAATAAAATTAAAGCCTTTGTTCGAATTTCTCATTTGTTTCAGTGAAACAAAAAATTAAGAAAATGACGTTCAGAGATGATGATGAAATATATGTTTTATCTGTCGGCCTGAAGAATAGAACTACATTACCTATTGCAATGCAGGATCTAAAAGCGGTGTCTGTAATCCGATTCTTTTGGTCATATGGAAGATATGATGGCATCCGCTTAGCTGTGGCTGGAGTTAAAAATAAGAAGCGATATAAAGTTTTATTTGGATGCCAAGCAGCCAAATCTTATATGACTATGATGAATAAGACGCATTCTGTACTGCGGAATTACACTTTTTATTTTATAAGACCTCAATAAAAATACAAGTCTATAAAAAACATTCACAGACAATTTCGACCTATTTTATGTACTTTTTCTTCTGTTTGTTTGTTTGTTTGTTTGTTATGTTGCAAACTGTTTTAATTTGCATTTACTTCAAATAGAAAGATAATTTTTCTTAATGTCTATATACAACTCATGGGGTGTACCACTGTCTTATTTCATGTAATGAAGGTTATTTAACCGATACTTAATATCTTGGAACAAGGCTCAAAATTATATCTTGCGTAAAACACCTTCACCGTATACGCCCATTTACCACTAGATGAAGGCTAGTCTCGTGACGACGTTGTCAATGAAAGAGTGCTAAATTTTCAGAAATATCTGGCACTTTATGTTTTATGATAATGTTTATGCTTTAGGGTTTCTGTTATTGATAAATGTTTATATAACGTTTATTTAGGGTAACACTAATACATATATTTGCAAACAAAGCAAGCAATAAATGATAGGGCTTTGAAAATATTCGGGGATATTTTATTGTCTCTCAAAAAGGAAAGTCAGATTGCGTAATTACATTTTTGCTTTTGGTTAAGTCGCTTTTGAGTAATTTTTTTTCAGATATCTATTATCTCAGTTGGTGCTAGATGAACATGTATAAAAATGAAAACTGCTTATTGTTAGATCGGGAGATGAATCGCCTTTTTCATTGTTCCTCCTTGAAAGACTTAATGCAATCGAGCCTGCTTTAACATCATTAGTATTAATGTCTGTGTTTTTTTCTATTTGCAGATTAAATAAAAACAATCCAAGAAGGCTTTTGTAGATAAATATGGATTAGTTAACTATCATAAAGTTTTATTACCTACAAAGCAGTGTTGTCGCACTGTTCCACTGTCAGTAACAAATGCCCACACAAGCTTTCTATCATATAAAATGATATCAATATTATGTTCTGTCCCTTTGTAAAACTCCATCACTGTCATTGAATTGCCATGACTCAATCCAAGCCCCGGATAGTTGGAGTCGGAACGCAGACAACTAGTTATTCGTTGAAAATGTCTCTTCATATCTTCTTGACATTTGACCATGCATGCACCGATACCACATGCACCATTATCTAATTTCAAAATTGCAGGAAATCTAAACCTTAAATTAACAACGCACTCTTTATATATGGCATCAACATGTATGTTTTAAAATTTTGCAGTATACCTATGAACAATATCGTTCAAATACTTGTAAAATGTTTTTATTATAAGATATTCTAAATTTGAAGATGACAGTCATTAATGGTTGAATTTTTTTTAAAGTGTGAACGTTACTTACCTATTATTTTACATTGCTAGAGTGTATTTATTTTATTTAAATCAAAATCAAGTCAAGATATAAAAAAAATGGTTTACCTTCCTGGTAACATATCACAGTCCGATACGTTTTTAAGATGTAATGAGTCATGGAGTCCTAAAGCATTTTGCGTTTGCGATTTGGAATTCGCTATCACGGCCGATTTGTAAGTCAATCCTAAAAACGTAAACAGAAACTTTTGATTAAACACATTTTTAATTTTGATGAGTATTTACACGGAATAGCATTTAATTAATGTAGGCGTTTTGCATTCTTTATTATGATGCAATTACGGCTTAGAATTTTATTTTGATATGTTGCTTGTTTGTTTGTTTTATTTTTATGGTTTTTAGGGGGGTTCTTTTGTCGCATCAACACTGTAAATGTCAATTTGGGGCTCAAGCTGTACTTCAGTTGCTCCTCCGTGCATTATTTTAGGCACAAACTGGCATCTGAGTCGAATCACAGACGTATCATAGGCAAGCTTGATAGCTTCCATGCTAAGCGGGATTCTAAACCACAGAGGTGATGGGTTATTGGTTTGAAGTCAACAATATTACCTACTCAGCCACGTACAAGAAATATCTTTAAATAAAAACTTGCTATTGTTAAGAATCATACGGTTTTAAATGCATCCTTATAGATTTTTTTATAAATCAAACATATATATATATACATGTACTATAATTAAAATCAAATGCAAAAAAATGGATTGAGTAGACAGCTAGATGCTTTTGTAAAAACTCTCTCCTTGAAATGAAACAATAGCCATTAATGATAACATTCGTTTAAAAACAAATTTTTGTTTGATGTTATTCTAAACACTCAATATTTATCAAAGAACAATCACTTTGTTACATTGTACTATCGCCATATAAAACAAGAGAAAGTGTTAGGTTTGCAATTGCAAGTAAATTGATATTGGCAATTAGCTATATTCTTTGCCTTTCAAATTGTAAACATCTGAAAACGAAGTGATGTGTTGTTTCGATTTCACCACAAGTGCAAAGGGGACTATTTATGATATTTTTTAGAATAAGTGTTCGTTAAATGAACAGCAATGATTTCTAAGGCGCGTATGGTGGATTTAAAATTTTCACAATAGTAAAAATGAACTGGAACCTTCCTTATATCCTTGTTGAGTTTGGATTTAAAATTGTTAAGAGTTGATACATTTCACTTTTTAAGAGATAAAAGGTTCCAGTTAGTAAAATTTTGAGAAACAAATGTCTGTTAGGTTGTTTGCATTTTTAAAGTTATAAGTTGTTGTACTTCCGACATATTTGGTACTAATGTTGTAAGAAAAGAGGGCAATAGGATATTGGAAATTTCATAGAAAAGCTTCGATCTCTGTTTCTTTCGTCGTTTTTAAGATGGTTGGAAGCAGGTTTCTTCGTACATATTTTGGAAAGCCACAGGTTTAGTACAACCACAGATAATACGAAGAGCTTTGAGTTGGACTTTTTCGAGTTCTTGTTCGTCGTAGTAAGACAAATCTTCCCAGGCACCAACCGAATTTTCAAGCAAGGGTTTGGTGACGGCAGTGTATATGATCTCCAAAGATTTTCGAACAAGGACAAATTTGAGACCTCTCATGATACTTATTCTCTGCAAAGATTTTATCTTTATGTTTTTCATGTCCTTGTGCCAATTTCCGTCACTTGAAAAGGTCACATCCAAATGCTTATGACATTTTACTTCTCGGATTGGACATTGTTCATATGTAGTGGGTGGATGAAACGGTTTGTTTACATTACGATAAATAAGAAGAGACTCAGTTTTTGCTGGGTTGAAATCGACAAGCCAATCATTAACCCATTTCGAAACTTTACAAAGGTCAGAATTTAAGATATTAACAGATACGTGTGGCTCTTCGACAATAATGTAGAGGCTAGCATCATCAGCAAAAAGTCGAATGATGAATTTATATCCTCAACAATGTCATTGATATAAATACAAGAAAGAGTAAAGGGCCAAAAATAGAACACTGTGGAACACCAGAACATATTGGTAAGACTTCGGAATACGTACCAGAAAGTATAACACGCTGAGAGCGTCCAGAAAGATAATCCTGAAACCAGCTAAGAAGAACACCCGATAAGCAATTTATTTTAAGTTAATGAATGAGGCAACGGTGTTAGACTCAATTGCCTCTGAAAGATCGCAAAGAATAGCACAGACTTGTTTCCTTCGTCTAGAGCTTGACAAAATGTGTGATAAATAGAAAAAACCAATTGATTGGTCGTTGAATCATTCTTTATAAATCCAGATTGCAAAGGTGTTATGCTATCATAATAAATGAAGAAATAATTTATAGATTGGTTATAATTAAAAATGTACCTCTTAACTCCAAAGATTCAGTAACTAATGCAGCTAAAATACTGCACTCATCATTCAGGGGGAGACAACCGTCTGGTTTTATTCCTAAACTATGTATTAATTTTTCAATTTGGCAAGCATGCGCATGGTCCAGTTTATGGTCGGAGAAATCATAATGAATAAAGGAATGAACGCTATCCCTTGCAATATGATCCGGATCTTGCTCCACAAGAATAATCTAAGTAAAATAACATAAGAGTATATAATTGATTGTAAACATAAATAAAACAGGAATGTGATATCAAAGTAGTACATATTCGATGTAATAATAAATCTTGAATGTAACATTTAACAAGTACAAATTATTCGAGGGCCGTTCAAAGAGTAATAGGATGAAACTCTATTGTTCAAATTTCTTAAATAATTAGCGTTTGGTAGAATAATTTTTAAACGTCGTTTACGATACTTAATTTATATGATTATGTGTATTTAGTGTGTTAACGACGTCAAATTTATATATAATTTTCCTTAAATAAAATAAAGTTATGTGTGGGATACATGTATAATTTATAAAACTATGGTGGCCGATTTACGCCATGTCGTATTTTCCCTTTTTCGCCTCAAAATAAGAAAAAGCGAAAACACGAAGGGACGACAACAAAGTTGGACTTTGTCGTTCGTCTCTTCGTGTTTTCAGTTTTTCGCATTATCAAGACAACAAATCGAAAATACGACAGAAGGAGGGCGAAAATACGACACATAAAATCTATCGTATATTCGTATTTCATCTGTCGTATTCTCACTTTCTCGCGTTCAAAATACAAAAATGCGAAAACACAAAGAGACGACAAAGTATTATTTTGTCGTCTCTTCGCATTTTCGCCTTTTCGGATAGTTACATATTTGCATTGTTACATTTTGGCATTGTTGCATTTTCACTTTTTCGCATTGTTACATTTTCACATTGTTATATTTTTGCATTTTCGCGTTCCGGTGGTACATGCGCATGGAGACATCGATTCATTATTTAATAGTCCTATATAAGATATGTTGTATTCACTTAGATGTATAATTTAAAAGTATCACCCCTCTCCTTACACATGTAAAATAATTAAATAATATAACTGTAATGCTTTCAGATTGTTTTGAATCAATTAATGCAACAATTATTATAATAAATACAGTATTTGTTCCAACCATCTTTAGATTATCAGTTTATTTTGCTGACGGGTTCGACATGAGATTTATGATAAAGGCACTGCCCGCACACATCTTGAAATAGATATGTCTGGGAGTGAGGTGTTTTTTCAGAGGAAAACATTTTATAATGTCTGTTATTCTAGTACTAGAGTTTTTAAGGCATACTTTACCTGATTACGTAGAGTGCATATTGGATAAAGTTCATTTAAAATTTATATAATAATATGTAAAATCATCTTTATTCATTAATACATGATACCATGTTGTCAGGCGTTCCTCGGGTCTTTAATACAAAGATCTCTTGATGGTTATTCTGTCTTCCCCATATTTCACGAATATCAATAAAAGGAGAACAATAAAAATTCATAGAAAAATTCAATAAACATATTGTATTTAGATCATATTGTATAATACTGTGCTGCTCTTAGTTCGCGGTACTTAACGCATGGAAACAATAAATAAATGGTACAAAAAAAAATATCATTAGCTGTAACGTTTAGGTATTTGTAGATTGATGTCTACATGTGCATGTGCAACCGGAACGCGAAAATGTAACAATGCGAAAATGTAAAAATGCGAAAATGTAACAGTACGAAAAAGCAAACATGTAACAATGCGAAAAAGCGAAAATACGACAGATGGAATGCGAATATACGACAGATTTTATGTGTCAAATATTTGCAATTTAATGGAATATGAAGCCTTTTAGACCCAATACTTTTAGCCCTATTACTTTTTGAGCAACCTTCGAACAGTGGCGTAAATAAGTATTTTCTAAAACGAACCGCATTTTCCCCTATCTAATATAGAAGGACCGAACGTGTGTGTTATTATGCAATAAAATCACAGTTGATATTCTATATTTAAACATGTAACGTACCCATTAGACATGTGACGTAACCATTAAAATGCGACGCGCTGAAAATAAGTACGGATACAAATCAGGCAAAATTTAGCTTGACATCAGGTATGGCAGAATTTATTTGTTGATGCCGTGTTAGAATCGAAATAATTTATCCAAATCAGTGAGTGATTTTATCATGTTTGTCGTTCGGATGCGCTTCATTGTATCACTCGGGCTACGACCTCGTGACATGATTCCTCGAATCCGAACTCCAAACAGTTACTTTATTTAGCGATAAAATCACGGTGTCGTAAAAGCGGCACGGGTATGTGATAAATATTTTTAAGCAAAAAGATCATGTGTACATTTTACAAAAAACAATGGCAAATATGTGCAAACCTCTATTCCATAATTTGCAACGTCCAACCACATATTTCTTAATGCGTACAATCCTCCACCAAATACTATTATTTTCTTTCCTTTCATCAGCTTGTGTTCAGACAAGGTGTCAGTCAGAATTCTTTCAGGTCCTTACATTCAGTTTTCAAAAATAATATTTTCTTTAGTATGAAGTAGTTCTGTTTTGAAAGCATTTGACATTCATTTCACATGTAAATCTTGTTTCCAGATTTTAAAAATTTTGCTTTTTTAAAACAACCGAATGAAATTAATTGCAAGAGAAACGATCCTAAAAGGTTTTTGGAACTGATTTCATGAATTCGTTTACCATATAGGCAACTGCCTTATTTACAAGACATAATATTTTAATTTGTCATACCATACGAATCATCATTCCTTTTCAAATTCATCTTTGAACAGTTTTAATTTACGTCGTCACGTTTCTCACTTGACTTTGGGGTCTAAGATACGAACATATAAAAATCATTTTCAACATAAGTCTGACACACCTGGGGAGTAATACTACATGTTCGAAAAATAAACATGACCAAAATCTATTTATCACAAATATATCTCTAAAAACTGATTTTACAAACATGTGAAAAACCTATGCTGCTTAAAATTAAAGAATCTGCATTATTGAAACATAATGAAAATATCCAATGTTGCGTAATGATTAATTTTTAATCGCATATAAAAAGTTTGTTTGCACAATCATTAATTTATAAAAGTGACACTATGTTATTTTTTCTCTCTCTCATGTTTTAAATCGTTAAAGTTCATAACTATGTTAATTTTTGCTCGTTGAACAATATAATATGCTTGCCAGAGATTCGCATAATTTAATGTTATTCAAAACTCACTTAATAAGTTCAATATTGAACCTACACACATTCATTTTTCTGTTTACTGAAACCGAATATGATTTTACAAACTTACTTTTCATTGCTTTTATTGTTTTTCATATTATATTTGATATGTGATACTTTTAAAAATGCTGCCAATAATTCATATGATTACAAAATTTATAAAGTTGAAAACGTAAAAACAAGCAATACGGATACCTAAATAAATACAGTAAAATAGAAGTTGTCGGCATACCACGTGCACCAATTAAGGGCAAATGACATTCATGAAAGGCGCGCGGGAATGACGTCATGTAAAGGGCGCAACTCGTTTTACACGAATAGTATAAGGGTATAAGATAGGATTTTTAACAGGGCTGGGAATCAAAACTGCGTCGTATCCTACAAAATGTAAACAAACGCCGCCATCTTGGAGCGAAAAAAGTATGTTTTTGTTTATAACTCTTTTTGTTGGAAATGACTGAAAACAAGATATATGTATTAACACGCTACACTATTTTCCGTTTCGTTCGGTATATGTTGCTTGCACAACTATTTTGTAAAACAAAAGTTATAGCGAACTTGCAACTCGAAGCGGGGCAGAATTTTTATGAAAATGTGTGGATACGACGCAGTTCATATTGCTTTATCTATCGTTTTTCCTTCAAATCAATTATATACTCGTTTTCAGAGTTCACCATAAACGTCAAAACATAATTTTGCATCATTTACTAAACTTTCATTTAAAAGAGATTTTAATTTTCCAAGAAAATAATGAATTTTACGAAATGATACGACGCAGTTGAAAATAAAATATGATACGACGCAGTTGTATTTTCATTGCAGGCTGAATATGGGTTAAACTATTTAAATTATGTGCTAGGTATGCCAATAACGTCCTACAACATTTCTTGTTTACAACTTAGGTCAATAGCAGAGGTCACTCATTGGTGTCATAAAAATGAATATGTAATACAATTCTATTAAGGCTGCATTTTCGGTCGCATTTTTAGTACTAATCATAAGCATCTACAAATTCCGAAATGCTGTATCAAATGCAATATACATTGAAACACCCATATGACAACATGTTCTTGTGTTGCCTTAGCATGCTTATAAACTTGTTCACGTGAGTTCGAAATGGGAGTGATTACTATTTTTGATACAAAATTCAATATTCCAGTGTAACCTCCAATGGACCCTGTATTAATCAGGAATGACTTTTTTTCTTAAAAAAAAGAGAGAAAAATTACAAATTTTGAAAAGGTCTCTCGCTATCGGGAATGTGCAAATTGCATGCCTGTCGTTGTTACTTGTAATTAGCAATAATTTCCGTCAATTATTCCGTTACTTTAATAATATTTTATTGCATATTTTGTACATGATTAATTTACACAACCTAACATCAATATCTTAAGCATGAATATAATGTACATACAAAAGGGTTGGACCAAAAGTTATACCAGCATTATCTAAGGTCCTCCCCTGAAGGTCTATATCTTGTTGGCTTAATGGTAACATAGTAAGTAAATGTGGTTTTAAGAAATTCTGTTATTACTTATGTCTTTTACGTGCCGATTTTATTGTATTCATTTTCTTAATAATGGACGAGGACAGATGAGCTTTATTATTTGAAACTGAACATTAAATTTTTAAAATTATATTATAAATGGTTAAGCTACAATATATTTTTGCAAGTAGGTTATGCGTTCCGTTTAGTCATTTTATGTTCAGCGCGCGGAACTTTACCCGTGCGTTTCTTTATCGCCGATGAGGAAAGGTCTAAGGAATGTATTTTCTATATTTGCACTTAAGTATAAATCTTTCTCCATCAAAAACTTTTCAAAATCGAGTTACATATGATACAACTACAAATTATTTTGTAAAAAAAGTGTCCGTTTTGCAAAGGTATTTAACGATATGCACCGATAAATTTGATACAGATATAGGCAGGCATGATCTTTCAACTGTATTGAAGAATTTTTTACAATATTGAACAGAAAATTTAGGTCAGATTATCGCACCGAATTTTCAACAGACTAGAGACATGACATCTTAACAGACCTTCATGTATACTAAAGTGGAATTTTTATTTGATAATGAATTGCCTGAAAACTTAAACAAAAGTTTTCAGAAAATGACTTCACAGAGGATTACCCCCTGTTTACATTAAAACTTTCTCTGCTAGTCATACCGAAATAAGAAATTTCAATTTTATTCTCTTTATAATCATTTTAAATATTTGTAATCTTAAAACTTCACGCCAGAAGTTAATAAAAAAGCTGCTTATTTGTACAGCTGACGTTAACAAATTTTGTTGAAAAAACAAATCAGACAGGTGTGTCCAACCGAGGCCGAGCTGTTTATGTTTACTGAATTCAAATCACTTGAACTGAACTGCTATAAATTCGAAAACCACCAGGGACTTTTTATTCTTTTGGGTGGAAAACCTATCAAGCTAGTTCCAAAATGTCGACGGTTCTCTGCAGGTACAACATTTTGCCTGAAATAATGCACAAAGGCGCACCTGAGGTCCTCGCCCCTAGTAAAGCTAATGTGTAGAGTGAAAGTTTGAAAAGAAACCTAAAAAAAAGCAGTTATTACTCAGAACACGCAGACCCACAGTTAACTTAGAGTGTAGCTAGCCAACATAAATTCAAGTTAATAGTTTTCTACATTTTTTTGCAAAAAAAAATTAGGGATAATATTGAACATACAGGAAAATATAATAAATTATTTCAGATATTATGATCAATAAGGTAACATGTTCATGTTTAACTGAAAAGTAGCTTCCGCAATGTAAACTTTCAAATTAAATGTTATATTGGACATGACACATTGTATTCTAAATAATCAACAGATCATTGCTGTACACCGCAAATGATCGGGGTTTTTATGTAGCGCAAGTGATTATTCCATAAAATAGAAATATATTGCCAAAATTACCCCTGTTGAAAAGACTGCCAAAAATACAACTGCGTCGTATCATATTTTATTTTCAACTGCGTCGTATCAATTCGTAAAAATCATTATTTTCTTAGAAAATAAACATCTCTTTTTAATAAAATTTTAGTAAATGATGCAAAATTATATTTCGAAGTTTATGGTGAACTCTGAAACAAATATACAATTGATTTGAAGGAAAAAAACGATAGATAAAGCAATATGAACTGCGTCCTATCCACACATTTTCATAAAAAATCTGCCTCGCCTCGAGTTGCAAGTTCGCTATAACTTTTGTTTTACAAAATAGTTGTGCAAGCAACAAATACCGAACGAAGCGGAAAATAGTGTAGCGTGTTAATACATATATCTTGTTTTCAGTCATTTCCAACAAAAAGAGTTATAAACAAAAACATACTTTTTTCGTTCCAAGATGGCGGCGTTTGTTTACATTTTGTAGGATACGACGCAGTTTTGATTCCCAGCCCTGTTTAAGCACCTGCGTAAACAGTAGATAATCCTTTAGGTTATGCATGAAACAGTAAAAATTCACGAATACAGACTAAAAGAGTCTAATATTTCTTTGTCCCAAACATTAATTGATTGGTTTTGTTCGCTAAAATCGGAACTGCATATTTGTGCGTATGCTAGTGTTACTTAAGGTGTTCAATAATTTCACAGTAATGGTTTGGAAAGGTGTCAACAAAACAATTTTGGAAATTAAAATCTTACCTGATTCTGTTCAATAAGCGGAGAAAGCACAGTGTAAAATGCAACGGGCGATAAACCTTGTCTTAAAACATAAATTGCCTTTTGCACATATTGAAAATATTAATATACATCGTTAGCCATTTGCTAATTACATACCATACATTTGCGTGTTATAATCAAGTGAGAATTAAATGGGAAACATACCGCAGCCGGTTAGTGAGAAAATTACATAACGATATATCAATATATATAAAACAGCTGAAGAAATTGGATGCTGCAAAGGTTGATTAAGCAACATTCGAATAGTGTTTGAAGGACAAAACATTTGATTCATATGATGAGATGAACTACACGAAATAAACACGAGGAAGAGCTGAAGAAATACAAACTGTTTATTTCACATTACCATTATGTTTCCAATTATACTGAATTGCTAGTTTTTCATTTTAGTAGTACCTATAACAAAAATATTAGACTGAGGTGTTTTGTTCATTAGAGATCTTTAATGCATAAGAGATCTTTAAATGATAGTTAGTTAGATCTGTTTGTAGGATGCGTTTATATTTGTTAACAGTAATTTTGACTTAACATGACGTAGGAAAGTACAACAATATACTAAATCTTTTGAAATAACAGTTTTTGTTCACTTTTGGTTTGATGTTTGATGTTTGATGTAGAGTTTTCCTTTAGGACGTTTTGACAATGATCTAAAACGTGGTTATTTCAACCATTTTTAGAAATAGTTTTAAGTAAAGAAAGTTTATTCGGTATTCATTTTCTTTTTCTTTCCTTAGAAACAGATAATAAAGGAAACACGTGTAATTAAAATTTAATAGTAAAGCTAAACATAAAAGGTCATATTAACCCACCACTCTTTAATAATTTTATTGCTTGACTGTTATCACGCCATGCTTGTGCCTTGAAAGCAATTGCTTGCGGTATTTTGTCATTGTTCGGGCATGAAATCGATATGTTTTCCATTCGTTGACAGGTGATAGTCGTGTTAA